TGCTTTCTTTTAAGAGTTTTACAGTGTTTGCTCCTAAGTTCAGGTATTTGAGCCATTCTGAGTTAATTTTTGTATAAAGTGTAAGTAAAGATTCAACTTCATTCTTTGGCACTGGATATCCAGTTTTTCCAGCATCTTTTGTTGAAAAGACAGTCCATTCCCCTTTGAATGGCCTTGGCTCTCTTGTCAAAAAATAATTCACCACATATATGAGGGTTTATTTCTGGTTTCTGTATTCCACTAGTTTATGTGTCTGTCTTTTTGGAAATACCACATTGGTTTGGTTTATATTGATTTATAGCTTTTTAGTAAGTTTTTAAAATTGGGAAGTGTAAACATTCCAATTTTGCTCTTAATTTTCAACACTGACTTGATTCTTCACGGTCCCTTGAGATCCCATGTGAATTTTAGGATGGGTTTTTCTATCTCAGTAAATAATACCCACTGGGATTTTGATAGGAATCACACTGAAGCTTTAGGTCGCTGTGGATATTACTGTCGAGATGAGCACTTCTGAACTCTGGCTGCGAGTTCAATCATCTGGAGGAAAAATACAAACACAAACCAGATGCCTAATTCCTACCACCAGAGATTTCCAATTTCAAGGTTGTGGAGTAAGAAGTAACCATCCTCAGGAGTGATGCAGCCAGGCTGGAGATCTATTGTCTGAAATGATAACTTGGCTCGCCTCAGAAGAGCCACTGATTAATATATGTGGTGGTCCATGATCTCACTGCTCTCCTTCCCCACAAGCACACACACCCTCTCCCAGGTACGCTGAACTACTATACATCCCCTTTTCTCCAGGTGTCTGAAGAGCTGCTGCTTGTCCACCGTCTGGGGTGCCCTTCCCCTACCTTCTTACCTGACCAATTCCTCTTTTAAGATTCGGCCTAGAGGGTACCTCCTCCAGGAAGCCTTCAGGACAAGAAGTATCTCTAGTCTGATCTACAGCCTGTAGCCACTTCCTCTCTCCTCTCCTCATCTTCTCTCACAGGGTTCCCCCTGCATGGGGCCTCCTTGCTGTTCTAATAGGTCAAGCACCATCTTGCCTGAGGGTCCTCACCTCTGAACACTGTTCCCTGGGTTTCTGCACACCTTGGTCCTTCCCCTCCTCAGGTCTTTGCTCAAATGTCACTACTCAGTGAGGCCTTTTATCACCCCATCCCAGTACCCTCTTCCTTCTTTCTCTGCTTTCTTTCTTTTCATAGCATGTAATCATCTGACATATATATATATGTATATGTATACACATATGTATATTGTCTGTCTCCTCCCTCAGAATTTTGGTTCACTGCTTTATCCTCAACACTTAGAATTCAATAAATATTGCTTTCTGTTGAAAAAAGGAAGGGAGGTAGAAAAGAAAGAGCAATGGTTTCTTCAGTCCTACATAGCAAGCAGCTAGAACATTGCCTAACACATAAAAGAGGCTCAAGAAATATTGTTGCACAAAGTGAAATGTTATTTATATTTTTTTCATCTAATACATATACAGAGACACAGGTGCTCATTTCTATCTTAAAAGTGCTTCTTGACCACTTGCTCTCATACTGTTTCAAAAAGAATCCGGTGATCATTTAATTCACATAAATATCTATACTTTAAATAATTCTAGAAGTATAGGGCCTGTTTATGTATGTCTATGGCTTATTTTGAACAGATTCTTGAAGCCCATTTTCTATCATTTCCACAGTTGATGCTGGTTCTTTAGGACCTAGGGAAAATCTAAAATCTAGCATCTTATCACACTAGGACCCTTCCTTTAGAAATACAAGCTCTAAAAAAATAAAATTTATTAAAAAAATCCCAGACTAACTTTGCGGCCATCTGATTTAAGGTCTTCCAAATTTCTCATTTTTAATAGAAGGACTGCTCTGCCTAGGCCCTCTGACAACCTCACATGTCTCCCCATGACCACGTGGGCCAGGCTTGACTGCAGTCTGACCTGGGTCTTGGCCTAAAGCCTGGCGATTCCTCCTGGGGCAAGGCCTCCGTATCTGATGGGAGACACCCGTAAAAGCATCTCCACTCCATTGTCCTAGTTTCTGGTGAGAGTAGAGTTTGTTGATATATCTCCTACTGGTTCTACTTCTCATCCCGGCAAGCATATAAATCTAACCATAGTCCAATTCTAGAGTGAACATGAAAAGAGTGCTTTATTATTCAAAGATTAAATTGAAGATTTGTAGGGTAAAATAACTGTTAACAGTATCATTAAAAAGTAAACTGATCATTCAGTATAGGATACCAAATACGTAAGAGTTAAAGCGATAACTTGAAGTCTCTGAGAAACATGGAAGAAAAATGCCTACATGGAAAGAAAATCAGAAAACAAAATTTAATCCCTATTATTATTTTAACAATGTAAATACACATTTAAATATGGAACAAGTTAAAAGGGAACACTGAAAGAAAATGTGTTTAGAGGTAACTGGGACGTAGAATTTTCTTCTTTTTCCTTTTTTGCTGCAATGTTTGTGTGGTACAAATGGGAGGACATTATTCATTTTAGTAAAATTCATATTGCTCGTCTTAGAACAGAAGCACTAAAATCATAGGGGCCACAGTTAATTTTTAGTAACCTAATTCTTAATTCAGATCTCACTGGATTCATCAGTTATATTTATTAAACACTTTGTACATGCCAAGCATTTTAAGTAGATTATTTCTTCTAATCCTCAGAACAGGTTCCTATTTTTATCACTTCATAGACAGGGTTAATTAGTTTGCTTTAGAGTCATGTGACTGGATAGTGATGAAGTTAGGATTTCAACCTTAGCTGGTCTTGCTCCAGAGGCGTGAATACTGTGGCTGTGAATCTTCATAGGGCAAATATAAACTGAGATCATGCTCAAGCTATAAATCGGAAACCTTAGGGGAATGAAAACTTACACATATTTCTTTCCCGCTGCTCTAGCATTTCAATCAGACATGTTTCTATTTGTCTTACAGCTTAAAAGTGAGATCTGAGTCTTCTTTTTTTTTTGATATTAAGATATTTATTGGATTATTTTTAAAGATTCACAAATATTTCATTCTTTTAAAATGATAAATAATTACCTTCCACTTTGAATAATTTCTCATCTTTTTAATCCAAAAGTTTTTACTGAGAACTTTAAAGATGTATTTGGTGGCACCACATAAAATGTGATTTATGCTTATCATTATTTAACCTTTGAAATGATACTTTATTAATTCTTAAGTCAGTGTGGGTTCACTGAAGAAGGTTTGAGAGGCACTCTGTAGGACTAAGTCATTAACCTGTAATTTTACAATAGATGAAGTACTATATTTTCATTACTTTGAAAAAAAAATGACCTTGCAATGACTCTTATACTTAACATTTTATTTAATCTCAGCTGTACCACCATTAAACATGACTATTTGCATTGATCCTGTAAGAAGCCAGAAAAAAATCACTGGGCCCAGGTAATCTAACTCAGTATAAATCTAACAAAGATAGCCATACTTAGCAATTTACCAAATCAAAGGCCAAAGTTAAGTTACATTCAAAACTGCGTCCATTTGAGAGTAATTAGCCTTTACTTTGAAAACATTATTTGAGGGGTGGGTGCTGAAGCTCTTTCAAGAGTTTATTAGATGGTACCTAATACTTTTCAAGGGTTGGATGATTTATGAAGTCTAAGCTATTATGAAACATAGCCAGCACTGTTGTTGTACCTACTGTCTTTATAAATCTTATTTCACTTGATTTGCCTTAGGGCATAGGGTTACAGCCTTTAACAGTGGTAGTAATAAAGGCTAGTCCCCACCAAAAATTTTGAGTATTTTATCAAAAAAACCCACAAGACACGATCTTCTTGCCTTTCAATGCCCAAAATGCCCATCTTGTTTCTAAAGAGTAAGGCGGCAGGCATGATAGAAAACAGGGCAAAGCTGAATTGAGAGGGTAAGTGACATTTCAAGAACAGAGTTTTGTTGGACATTGAGGGCTTGCTGCCCTCAAAATTCTTTGTGATCTGAGACTACCCTAGAACTGCCATGTTTGCAGTTTATCATGATGATGGTTTGTCACTATTCTTTTTATGAAACAAAAGCCTGTTGTTACACTCAAAGTTGTTGTAAATTTGTTCTTTTTAATTTTTCTAATTGTGATTAAAAAAAATCACATTGTACTTTACCCTGTGTAACCTGCAACACTCTTTGCCCACACACAATAGTTTTGTTTCTTTCTATGGCCAGTCAGGTACTATGTAGGTGATGAAAACTGAAAATATAGAAACTAGATCAAAGAATGGGAAACGAAACGAGCAGTGAAGAGACTGAGAAAAGGATGAAGATGTTCAGAAGAAGTAAAAAAAATGCTAAATTAGACTGGAAAAGAAAAAGAAAGGGGCTGGGGAGGGAGAAGGCTCACTGAGTCAGAAACAACCTACGGTCTTGGTCTTTCAAGCTCTCACCAAGGGTAAATCAACAGATTCAGATCCCTCACCTTGAAAATGTTCTTCAGCCCACGACTTCCCAGCGACTCCGTAACCATTAAAGTCTCCACTGGCTGGAGTAGCCACTGTGGACGTTTGGGGGAGTTTTCGGAACTGCTGGAGCAGGACTCAAGGAAGCCTTTACAAAATTCCTCTTTCTAGGGGCTCACGGTCGCCTACAGTGTTCCCTCAATCCACTCTCCTATCCCCCATTCATCTTGATTTCCATCGGTGCCGGAGATTCGGCAGGGACTCGGTGATGGAGGCACTGGGTCGGGGTTTTGCGTCCGTCAGGCAAGTCAAAAACAACAGCGGGAGGGGCCTGGATTCTTGCAGGCGCTAAAAGGTAGAAACTGAGTTAAGAGGGAGCGGCGTGAGGCGAGACAACCAACCTCTAGGCGGCTAAGCGAAGCCGACTGGTCCCCAGACCCCGCCCCAGATAACAGGGAGCCGGTTATCCAGCAACGGGAGGTCTCGCGAGACAGATGTTGCGCCTGCGCACTGCAGCTGGAGGGCCTTGTCCGGAGCCTTCCTGTACCGCCCACTCCTCCCCTCACTTTCCCCACCCCTCTCACTCCTTCCCCCAACCCTCCCCATCCCCGCTTCTAAACTTAGGGTTTTTAGAGATCGGGCCTCGCTCTGTCCCGACGCCCTGGTCCGACTCTCGCGTTTGGGAGTGGACCAACGCAGAAGGAGGAAACGAGACGCAGTCAGCCTTTCCGCCTCGTCCCGCATCTGAAGGCGGGGCTGGAGAAGGCGCGGGCTCTGCGCACGCGCCACGCGGCCCACGTGTAGCCTGTGCAGCGGCAGTTGTGAGTGGGGGTCCGTGCCGGGGTCTGTTTTTCGGAGGGGTATCCCTGGAAGGATCGGGCCTGGAACTCGGCTGGGTGCGCGCCTGTGATCCCGCTGCCTGGGGCCGCTCCATCCGGATCTGTGTTATTTTCCTGCGTCCCAGCCTTGGCTCACGCTCCGCTGTCTGCCTGAATTGAGCGTATCTTGGATACGAGAAATATCCAGATAAAGCCCCGCCCTGGCCTTTCTGTACTCCGCAGTCTAGAAATGGAGGTGGACAAGAAAATAACTCCAGTTGCCTGTGCTAAATAGTAATGTAGGTAGACACTAGCTAGAGAGGCGGCAGACAGTAGGGAGGATTTAACTCTGGGTCAGAAATGCAGCCACGGGAGATGGGCTGTCATCCACTCGGCTACCAGATCCAGAACCCCAGAGTCCTCTCTAAGTCCTTCCTTTGCTTTACCACCAGTCGATCACTAAGTCGAGCAGCTTGTGTCTTTTAACTATTTCAACATCCCCTTTGCAGCGACTCTCATGCAGGCCACCATCGTTTCTTACCAGGACGACTCCGGAGCCTCTTTGCTGGATCTACTCTTGGCAAAGGACCCCCTCCTGGCCCCAGTCGACAAAGATCTTTCTGTAATGCCTTTCTAACCATACCACTCCCCTTCTTTGAACGTTTCAGTCGCTTTCCACTGTAAGACTTGCAAGAGTCTCCACTATATGGACCTTTCCTGCCTTCCTCAGTATCTCACCACTCTCTCTAGAATCTCTGCCCTGGTGTTACTACATTATTTCCTTTAATGCTGTTCCCTGGGATGCTCTTCCTAATAGGCACTCCCTTTGATAGGTATTTTTCAGATGTAGGTTAAAAGGTCACTTCCTCCAGGAAGCCCTCCTGACCCCCTCCTGCTTAGGATCCTGTAGATCCCTGACCTTAATGTGCATCACATCTTAACATTATTACCTACTGTAAGTCTTCCTCCTAGTTTCTAGGCCCAGTGAGTCCAGTGACTGTTTTTGCTTTAATTCGTAATCTTTCTGGCTTGGTGTGTCATGGATAATCTATCAATACTTGTTCAAGTAAGATAGGTGGTGATGGGGCTGAGGGCAGGAGTTTTCCAGGCAGAGGAAACCATGTATACATGTGTGTAAAGCTGTGTAGGAGAGGAACTGGGGCCCTCATTTGACAGTCTGGTCCAGTAGTGGGGAGTGGGGAGAAAGAAAGGCTTATGGGGAGATGGGGGACAGAGTGCGGAGGGCCTGGGATACCACCTTGATGAGTTTACACTTGACCTTGTGGGCAGTAGAGGCCTCCAAGGGCACCTCAGCAAGGCTTTGCTAATTTTCTCTTCCTCCAAAGCTGTTACTTATTCTACTTTGGCTTTGGATTATATCCCGTGAGAGTCTGCTTATCTGAAGCCTTTGGCTCTTGTCGCCCTTACTGGATTCTGAAGACAGGAGGACCTGAGGCCCAGAGCACTTCACTGTAAGTATTTATTCCATGTTGTTTGAATGCTGAGGCACATTAACTGGAGTTTGTAGTTTGGGGAGAGCTCTGTTAGAGCACCCTGATCGTTGGTCACTTCCTGACCACCTTCAGTCTGGTGCCAGCCTCTGCCAGTCACTTCACTGGAACTGGATAAGCTGCCTCCTAATGCCTGAGCTGGAGGGGCGTGTGGAATGACAGGAATGGGGAGGGCTGCAGGGCAGGGCTGGGTGAAGGAAGCAGCTTAGGCAGATACCAGATTGCTAGCAGTGGGCAGCACTGACAAGGTCTGAGCTCTCACCCCAAGGAGCTGAATTTGGTTTTCTGTGCAAAGGTGATGTAGGAGGAACATCGGAGGCCAGTAGCGGTCAGACTGTTTCTCAGGCCCGTCCAGTGCGGAAAGGCCCTCTGTCCTATACTGGCGGTTCCCAGCCCCGGTTCTGTATCACATTCACCTGGACAGCCTTTTACAAGAACAGGTGCCCTACCATGTTCTCAGGAATTCCAAGTTAGTAGATCTGGGGTTAAGACCAAGCACCTACACATTTAAAAAAGTCACAGGTTATTTCTGAGGTGCAGCCAGGAGTGAAAGGGCATCAGATTTGGATTTGGGAAACCAGTTGTGACTTGGGCAAGGTTAAATATCTGAATCTGTTTCCTCATCCACATGTTGGGCAGTTACATAGGAATCGTGGGAGAATCAGATACTTCATGGGGAAAGTGCCTCCTGCATTCTGACCCCTTCCGCGGGGACACTTGCTCTTCAATATCAGCAGCCAGGCTCGTAGGTGGGAGTTTAATTGATGAGATTTCATTAATCCTGCCTGGAGCACTTTGGGGAGGGCAGGCATCAGTGGGATGAATGATCTGGAAGGAGAAAATGTGGTTACCTGAAATGAGAGACAGTTCCAAACTCCAGTCTTCTCCAGAGCCGGTTTGTTTAACTTCCTTCAGTTTTGCAACATGCGTCCCTATAGCTCCCTACGGAGCCCAGGAAGAAAATGCAGGAGAAAATTGAGGGAAGAAAGAGAAATATACATTTGCCTCTGGGCAGGATAAACAGGATGTGCTCCCCAGAAGAGTGGTTTATAACATTTCCCCAGTAAGGATTCTTCTTACTATTTTGCCTTAATGGAGTAGTATCTTTCAGTTTCATTACAAAATTCCCCTAGTTTTCATCACACATACATCACCTTTCATCACACTGTCAGCGGGAGGAACAGCCAGCTCAGAATGACTGAGGGAAGGCGGAATCTGTATACTAGTGTTTTAGGAAGGATGTGTAAGAAACTTAGGGGTCCAGGGAGGGAGGCTTACAGAAGGGCACAAAATGAAAGTATCATTTGAGTTTTTAGTCAAGTGTGTACATTACTGTTCCAATTCTTAAAAAAAAAAATCACACCTGATTAAATCCGAATGGCAGAGGTGTCCAGGGTGCTCACAGACTGTGTGCTGCGGGCTGGTGGAAGCAGAGGCTCATGGAGGTGGATGTGGGCACTTGTTCAAGGCTGAACCCCAGTGTCTACAACCCCAGGTTGGAGGTGCTCAGTGAGTATTTGCTGAATGGAAGAATGGAAGCCTAACTAGAGAGCAATTTAGAAAATCAGATTAACACTGTGGATCCTTGAGAAGATAATTCTGAACAAGTAGAAACCTGGAACATTTTTAATAAGTGAAATAAACAAATAGAATTTCACTGTGACTGCAGTAACACAAAACATTGAGAAATTGCCTGTATGTGAATGAAGACTTAAGTCCTAGGGAAATGGAGAAAATAAATGACCAAAGTAGATACATGTCCTATATAAGCAGGCTTATGATAGCTTTTCAAGAATCAGAAAGAGCACAACCAAGATATTCTTGAGACGTGTGTTCCTAGTTAACACAAATCTTCCTTTGTCATTTTGCCTCTGAAGGATCTTCAGGATGGCCGCAGCCCCCCAAGCACCAGGGAGGGGCTCTGTGCGGAAGACGAGACCTTTACCTGTGAAGACGTCACTCAACAACCCATACGTCACCTGCTGGGGTGTCCTGGAGAGAGAGGATATGCACTTCATACTACAGACACTCGAAGACAGATTTAAATCTCTTGGGCTTCAGAAGATTGAGGACAGGAGGAGAAAGAAAAAGCAGCCCCCTTTACAAAAACAGAGCGGAGACACATGGAGCATGGACATGGACACTGGTGAGGACTTGAAGGAGAAAAAGCTGGAAGATAACCAACAGGCCTCAGGGTGGACCCCTGCCCACATCAGGAAGCAGCTGGCAATCGGAGTCAATGAGGTCACCAGGGCTCTGGAAAGGAACGAGCTGCTCTTAGCCTTGGTGTGCAAGTCTGCCAAGCCTGCCATCATCACCGCACACCTGGTCCAGCTGAGTGTGAGCAGGACTGTCCCCGCCTGCCAGGTCCCCCGGCTCAGTGAGAGGATCGCTCCCGTCATTGGCCTCAAGTGCGTCCTGGCCCTGGGGTTCAGAAAAAACACCGCCGCCTTTGTTGAGGAGGTGAAGGCCATCATTCCCAGAGTCCCCAGCCTGAGTGTTCCTTGGCTTCCAGACAGACTTGAAGACCCCAAGGAGAACCCAGAGACTGAATCCTTGGAAAGCCAAGACAAAGAGATTTTGGAAACATCCTTTGAAGATCTCTCTAAACACAAGAGAAAGCTCGCTGACCGTCAGGAGGCTGTCGTGTTACAACCCCTGAGAATAAAGAAACTGATTCCAAACCCCAACAAGATAAGGAAACCACCCAAAAGTAAAAAAACAACTTGAAAGTCATCTTGTGTAAACTTGTCACTTCATAGTTGTAAAACGACAGCTCGTAAAGAAGCCTTGACATGAATAAAATGAGTTACTCTTACGTGTATTCTTGGGACACTGTTTAGTACCGTTCCGCTAGAAGGTGTGGCTGTAGAACAGAGCTAGGACTGAGGCTTAAACGCTGGGTGAGGACAGCATTGAGGCCTGTGAGTAACAAAACAAAGGTGTACTGAAAGAGATGTCCGTGCTTGTGTGAATTCACCTTTTAAAAGGCTAGTACAGTGCTTGTAAGCAAGGACATCTGTATCCTCAACTCCTAGCTCGTTCCTTCCCAGCAAGGAGTTTTTCTGTCACACTTGGAGAATGTGCCACAGTAAACCTGGTTCTGGTTGGTGGGGAAGATGAAACTGGACTGCATCAGTTTTAAAGGGAAAAGACTAAATGCCGTGTGATACACTGTCTTCAGAAACAATACATTATTTTTTTTACTTTTGTCAGTTTGCCTTTCTTTGTAGGTAGGCTAAGGACGGGCTTGGGAGAAAGGTTAATGTTTATAGTAAATGCCAAATGAGGTATTTTTGACTAGTTAGACTTCATCCCTTTACATGGTTAACTTACTCCCTTGAAACTTTAACATATGTAAATAGTATGATGGTAACTGGGTGAAATGAGGCAGGAAGAGAAAAAAAAAATCCCTGAGGAGCTTGGATGCTCAGAGACGGGCCTGCCACGATAGGGGTCCTTCGTGTTGGGAAGTAGAGAATAATCAATGCTCTGTCAAAGTGCCTGCAGTTTACAGCGTGTGCTTGGAAAAGGCACTTTCTGTGATTTATGAGGAAGATCCTGGATCGCCAAGCGCTATTTTCAGCCTGTATTCAGGTTGATCTATGGATTATGTCACCTCCATTCATTTAAATTTACTGAATACCACTTTGACCAAAAAAAGTGGGGTGGGGGGTGAAGGATACCTGGTAGACTAGAGCATTTCCACTACGGACAGAGGACGCAGGATGGTGTGTTTTCCTGAACCTATAAAAACACTATATATTGCATTGAAGTTTAGTTCTCACAGCTACTTTATAAACACAAGCAGCTTTACTGATTTTCTGTTTTAAAATGTTCATTGGTAAAGTGCTTAAATGATAGGCTTCACAGAGAAGCAAATGAGCTAGTCATTTATTAATCATTGTATTTAAAAATGAGTAAAAGAGGGTGAACTCTGTGACAGGAATTATGTAAATGAGTAAGGAACAGCCCCAGTTTCATCATGAGGTGAGCCTGTGGCAGAATCTGAGGGGCAATCCTGCAGTTGCTGGAAAACCTGCAGCTTATGAAACTGCGCTATGAAAATGAGTGAACGCAATTCCCAGCCAGAGCCTTGATCCCAGATTAAATGAAAATCCCGTTTACTTAATTTCGGACTTTCACTGGAATGGTTCACTTTTGCTCCTGGAGCCATCCTCCCTGTGTTAGGAAGAAAGTGGCAAGGCAGTTGGGTTGGAATCATCCTATAGACAAGTCTCGCCTTGGGTCTTCCAGAAGGGAACAGCGCTGTCCTAACTGATGGGTGACTTTGGGGCCTGCACGCCCCCCCCCCCCCCGAAGGAAGCCACTGCTGTGGGTCAGTGCCTTCAGGATGCGGGCAGGCTACACAGAGTGGCTTTCAGCTCCTTAGTGGAAACCAGGGGAGACGCGTGTTTCTTCCGCAAAGGGCCAGGCTGTACACATGTTAGGCCTTGTGGTCCATGGTCCCTGCTGGGACAGTGCCACTCTGCCTTCTGTGCTGTGAAGCAGGCAACACATAAATGATTGAAAGTGGCTGTGTTCCCATAAAACTTTATTTGTGGATGCTGAAATCTGAATTTCCTACAATTTTCATGTCATAAAACGTTACTCATTTGATTTGTTTTCTCCTCAACCCATTCAGAAATGTGAAGACCATTCTTAGCTGGTAGGCCGTACAAAAAAGGGTGGTGGGTTGGCTTTAGCTCATGGGCCATAGTGCGAGGTCCTGCCGGGCAGAAGGGATGACTGGTTTCCTTTGACTACTTGTCACATGAAGGAAGGGCATCGTGTTGTCTAAGGTAGTGAGATTTTCTGGACTGAACGGCCTAGGCACTGGTGCAGTAAAGCCAGGGAAGAAGTATTTACTCTGTGGTGTCGGAGTTGAGGCCAGTTTACATGGCCTCATCCAGCATCTTTTCCCCCCCGGGTTACTGGCAATATATACGTATCTCTGTAAACTGAGAGACATGGTTTTTCAAATCCTAGATAAAAACATCATCAGTAACAAAATTATGATACTTATTTACAAATAAGACATCTTTCTATCGCATGACAGCTTTTATGATAAATTAGAGTCAGCATAAAGGAGTATGTGCAATTCTGCATAAGTAATAACATTCCGACCACCACTGTCCTGATAGCGCTGACAGATCCCACTGGGCGTGTCTTCTGACTTGAGAGCTTTTATTTTCTTTTCCTCACATCTCCTGGCGGTTGCTGAGAAGCAGCAAAAGTCCGTGCAGGACCAGAAAAGTCTAATTCATCATGGGTGCATACTCAGCTCAGAGCCTTGCTTTTCAACCAATCCACCGACCTGTTGGAGATGAAAGCACACATCTGTGTGTTTACTGATTTGGCAACTTCGCTCCTTGAGAAACACATAGTCACCAGTCCATTTCTACCTCACTCTTGAACATCCACTGCTCATCACTGAGTCACAGAGGTGCTGGTTCCACAGACATTCCCGATGAGGTCACGTGAGGTCATGTAAGTAGACACTTTCCGAATGGCTGCTTTATTCTGCTCCGTGGACCAACAGACCGACACTTAATAAACAGAAAGGTCGCAGTTTATCTCCACACGAGGGCAGAGATCTCCTTACGTTATTCTGTGACTACTGTTCAGTCCACAGACCAGCAGTCCCGTTTCTAGAGAGTGGAAAAAATAGCTTCTCTTCATCAAGAGACAACGGAAGGTTGAAAATGACAGGAATGTGCTCTTTGTACCTTCCTTCCATTTCCCACAAATGGGTAAACAGTGAAAGAAAAGGGTGAGTGTTAATGTCCTAGCTAGGAATGTTTTCTGTTGGTCGCGAAGGGGTGCTTTTTCACCTTTTCTGTTACTGACTACTTCGATTTCATTTCTGTTGTGCTTTTATTCTTCTTTGGAATGACAGTTCTAGGAATCACGAACTAGAATATTAATGAGTGATGATGTTAGAGTTCTCGAAATAGAAATATCCATCTATTGTAATACAAGCCCAACCTAAAGGGAGGGAAGAAATGGAATAGTATGAACAAGTCAGCAAGAAAAATTAAACTATAATGTCGTACAATAGACCTGTATTTTTAGAAAGCTACTAAAAAAAAAGTCTCAACAATCTGAAGAGAAGAAAGCATGGGGTTTTCTAAGTAAATTTATCACGTCTACAAAGGGTTTATGATAACAACTTCACGTACCTTTTCAGACTCTGTTCCTGGACACCTCCAATTGTACAAGTAATACTGTAAATTGCCATCTCCTATGCCAAACTTGAGTTTTTCCAAAAATGTCTTATTTTCCATCAAATCTAGTGCATTGAATACATCAAATCCTTTCTGCCAATGTAAAAAAATTAAAAAAATTAAAGTACCAAAGGATTAGTGTTTTCTATATTATATATTTCAGTATCTCATCTAATTTCCCTACTAACCAGCTTGAATGTGCATTTATAATAAGGTTTAATGTCTGTAATATATCATATAAGTTAGGAATTCGGTTCAGAACTATCTTATTAAATGAGTAGCAAGCACTGAATCTGATGGAGTCAGCAAGATTATCCAGAAATGCTGAATCAAAAAATACTGCAGGATGGCTAACACTAACAAAAAATAATCTATTAAGATTTCAGAAAATACTTTGTCCCTGTTTTCAAAGGAAACAGTTGCCTGGATGACCCCATTACCAGAACTGTTACTGGCTTCTAAGTTCTGACTTACCTGAACCTACAGCCAAGAAGCCAAACCTGCAAAGACTGTAAATCATGTATCTGCCTTGGGCTGATGCTGAGGAATAAATTTAGTACCACTTTAATAATAAAAATAGAATTTTAAAATGTTAGATAATACTATGCAAAATGTGATATAGATGAAGCACCTACATGTCTTTCTCAGGGTTTTTACCTTAAAATACCTTATTACTGGCCTTTTTGGGAAGTCATTGAAAATGAGCTATAAGATCAAAGAATCAAAGGAGAATGCTGATTTTGGGATCCACATATAACAGATTAAGAAAAAAGTTTCCAATGATCAAATACTGGAGGAATATAAGGAAGACACTTTTGATGTGCTGCTCCCAATTTCTCATGAACAATATATTCTCATTCAGTAATTACATCAAAATGTCCTTGTCAGCTGATTTCAATTTCTTCTTAAAGGAAAATGTTTATTTGTAGCAAGAATTTAACAATTATCCTAACTACTACACTGAGATAATAGAAAGATAATGGAAATATATAATAAGGCATATTTTGAGTTTAATTCTTTTCATTTTAAGTCCTTTAATAATATAATTTTAATAATTACATTTCTTTAATTTTAAAATTCAGAGACTAGCTGAATGAAGAAAATTATCGTTGCGAATGATTCACTGCAACACAAACAGCCCTATTTTCCCCATCCAGTCAGATCTCGTTTTATTGCGCATCACAGATAACTGTGGTGGTGGTGGTTTTTTTAAACACACTGGAGGTCTGTGGCAACCCTGCACTGAACAAGCCTATCAGAGCCATTTCCCAACAGCATTTGCTCACTACGTGTCTCTGTGTTCTATTTTGGTAATTCTTGTAGTACTTCAAAACTTTCATTATTATATTTGCTATGGTGATCTGTCATCTCTGATGTTACGACTACAACTTGCTGAAGGCTCAGATGATGGTCAGCATTTTTTAGCAATAAAATATTTTAAATTAAGGTATGTACATTGTTTACATGTGCCACACATGTAAAGACTACATTGCAGTGTAAAGATAACTTTTATATGCACCAGGAAACCAAAAAGTTCATGTGGCCCACTTGATCACGATACTTGCTTTACTGTGGTGATCTGGAACTGTCTGGAACCGAACCTGCAGTAGCCCAAGGTATGCCTGCATTGTGGGATCGTGTATTTTTATTACATTCCTTATATTTTGAACATTACATACTCTTATGTAAGGGTGAAAACTTTCTGATTTGTACAAAACGTCTTTTTGGTTAAGTTACAATAAAATTAATGAAGAAAACAGCCAAGAAAGTTTAAAAAAAAAGTTATCAAAATTCTCCCTTAGACAGATGGTCAACAGTAAAAATCTCTTGAATGAATCCCCCTGTGTGGAAGAAAACACAAGATGTCTTTCATACTCGGACATACATACTTAGAGACATACACAGGACAGAAAGCGGCAAGTCGCCTACCAGCTTGGCGAGGATGAGCGCGTCGGTCATGAGGTCCAGCAGCGGCGTCTCGGTGTGGATGTTGTAGAAGGAGTAGGCGGCTTTGAGGCTCTTGTGAGCCGGGTGGTGCATGACTGTGGAGGGGAGTGTGTAGAAGCTCAGGAAGTCAGTTGGCTTACCACTGGCGTTCTAAAGGACAAAGGTAACGTCAGGTAAATACCTCCCTGAACAAGTCTCGTCCAGCATGTAAGCTCACTTCCTGATCTCTCACTCGCGCCAGAGCTCTCCGTGAGAATGAAGGACAACTCATACTCCTCTCTCCAAGTCTGAGTTGGAGCCCCTTATGGTAAGCTGGGTGGAGGCTGCAGAAGAGTGTGGAGGTGGACCTCAGCCTAAGTGCTTGTCGGTGATTTGCATAAAGTTCTTAGTAAGTAGGACATTCTAAAAGGAACGCTTCTCTCTGGTTGACTGATGAGTCTCTCCAGACTCGTGGGGCAGTGGTAAAAGTAAAACTGTTTTTGCAGGAATAAGAGCACAAAGGATTAGAACTAAAAGATACTGTATAATATCGAACATCTTCTTGGCCCAAGACAGAAATTTTATCAGCTTAAAGTGAAGTTGGTTTGGAAGCTGTTTTTTTAGAAGCTTGTAAAAGGCACTGGTACTGCACCCAAATATATGTGTATGAGTAACAGAAAATCTAAAGCTATCAAAAATCAAAAGGGACGCAAAAGATGGTGCTCGTTTCTTCATCACTGGTAGATCTTTCAGTACAAGAAATTAGCCAATATTGTTTGGCTTGTAGCTATGGTGGCCTAAGCCAGTCTGCATATAATTCCAAGTATGATCTGTTTGAATTACAGGAGGAGGCTAGACCACATGTGCCATTGCTACTGTTTGTTTTAGAAGCAAAGACAATTCCAGAGGGATGGATTATCCAATCATCAATGCTTCTGATTCATTAAACCTTTTTTTCAAATATTATAAAATTAAAGATGTTAAGCTAAACTGAGTCTCTACTGCTCTGTATCAGGAGCTCAGTATCAGAGATGACTTAAAGCCCCAAATGTTAAGCTTTATTAAGGACTTTCCACTTGAAAAATACCATAGCAGAAATTAGAGGGAAAAAAAAGTCACTGGATGGGCTCAATAGCAGAGTGGAGATGACAGACATCAGAATCACTCTACTTGAATCCAGTTGAATTTACCCAATCTGGACAACAGAGGGAAAGCACACTGGG